GCTTGGACCAAATGCACTGGCTGCTGAAATGCAGTGAGTTTGTGGCTGTTTGTCACACAGTTATAACATTAGTCGCTGGGCCTGCACCACAACCAGCACCTGAGGAGGACAGTAAACACCCTGAAAGGGGGAAAACCTTTGAATCGTAGGATGTTCGTCCTGTTGTGCTGGCTTTTTGAGCTAAGCCTCAGTCTCCTCAGATCGTGTAATGACTGACTGTTTCCCCTTAGTGTGAGGACTCAGTAACAGGCAGTGCAGCAGTGCAGGCAGGGAACTTGTGGTGAATATGAAGCACTCCTTCTTGGCACTTTAAAGATCTGTCAGGGGAGACAGATCCTACCTGTGGTAAGAAAACTTCAGCAGTGGGAAGTAAATTCTGGAGGTCAACTCTTCCAAACCCCTGCTCAGCCAGGGCCACTTAAGAGTCAGTTGCTCAGGACCAGATGCAGACAGCTTTTGAAAATCCTCAGGGTGAAGATAATGCAAACAATTTAGTGGTTTTTCAACCTCACAGAAAAAAAATGTTTTTCCTGATATTCAGTAGGACCCTCCTGTATTTCAGTCACAGTCTGAAGAATGGACATCTGCATTGTGGACCTCTCTGGGTTGTGGGGGCACAAACTGTGTCACCATATTCTTCTGCAAGGTTCAAGAATCTCTTCCAGCACCTGAATTGCCTTCTCCCCCTCCTTCTTCTTGATGTCTACTTGTCTTTCTCAGCTGCTGTTGGATGGGGTTTTTTTTCCCTCTGTTGATTATGTTACCACAGGGGCATTGCTACCATTGCTGCTCAGCGCAGCTTTGGTCAGCAGTGAGTCCATCTTGGAGCCAAGTGGAAGCGGCTATCTCTGACATGGAGGAAGTTTCTGAAAGCTTACAGAAGCCAAGCCTATAGCCCCTCTGCTACCCAACTGATACAGGAGCCCAGAATTGGACACAGCAGTCCAAGTGTGGCCTCACCAGTGCTAAGCAGAGGCCAATGACCATCTCCCTTATCTTGTCTTCAGTACTTTGCGTAACGCAGCTGGGCGTTTCTGTAGCAAAATACAAGTTAGCTTCTTTCAAGGGGGAAAATTCAGGGTGGGACCTGTTGTGCATATATACATGCATATCAATAGTTTAAACATAAAAGTGTTTCCTTGGCACATAGATTTCTCAGGTTACAAGGCATCCAGCTATAGCAAGGTTAAGTTTAAATATTTGGTGGTTTGAAGGTGGTTCTGTTGAGCATATCTGGCTATCCTAGAACAAGTTAGAGAGAGCAACTTTAAAAATAACTTTATAATTTTTTTTTGTGTTGTTTCTAGGCAAGTATACGTGTATACATGTATGTAAAGGTTGCTAGTTATTTCTTCTGCCCTGTAGGTCAGGAACTTATTTTTGTTGTATCTGCACAGAACTTCCTGGATTTTTCTTTTTAATATTTTAGCATTCTGTGTAACAGCTCATTATATTCATGGCATGTAAAATACATGCAATTTTTTTATATTTTAAATCAAATTTCTGTTTCTAGAGTAAAGTCTTAATAGGAATATTTTAACTTTGTCATATACACCTTGCACTGAGAACTTCCAGACACCTTTATTTTTATTGTGCTGTCTCATGTTAGGTGGTAGTTGTATAATGTTTTTTTGTGTGCACCGTCTCTTAAGTGAAAACCATGCAAATGCTGAATTGTTTCTGTTGATATAAAATATGGCACATTCCGAAGTTCAAAACTAACGCATTTTTAAAGGTTTGTGTTAGGTAGCAGTAAGGTCCAGGTAGTCTTCTGCGGTGTAGAAAACTTTTATCCAGAAGCTTGAGGGTCTTGGGAAAGTGTGAGGAGAGATGGAAAGGGAAAGAAGAAAAAAACAGCAATTCTTGTAAATATCCAGGTAAGGATACAGTTGGCTTCCCCTTATTCTAGGAGATACACCATCTCTCTTCTAGTAAACAAATTGAAAGAAGGGAAGAACATTTAATAGTATTTTGTTAAGTGTGGTGTGTGATAACTGTGCAGTTTGTCCTTGTTTGTTCCAGATTGGTGTAATTTGTACTTCATATAGGAAATTTCTGTCTTGTCTGGAGTGTTTAAACACTGTAGTTGAAAAAAGTAGTAAATATGATTGTCTGCTTCATTGATTACTAAGCAGCCCTGACATTTCAAATTCAAGTAGACCATTGTGCTTATTTGCATTTATATTATGAAAATGTAGTGGATACAGCAGAAACTGGAACAAAATCTGTACATTTTTCAACTCCTGTAAGTATGGCCACTGATTTTATTTTGTACTTGGTGTGAGTTAAACTACATTTTTTTTGTCCTGCCTTCTCTAAGCAGTTGAGGTAGTTAATGTCATTATCTTGATTCCCCAAAAATGGAGAATCACTTGGGAACATATCAGAGTTGGACATTTTAGCTAAGTATTTGAATTATGGTTGTAGAGTTCTGGGGCTTTTTGGTTTTTTTCTTAAAATGAAGACAAAATAAATATTTGGTAGATGGGCAGTATTGTTCACATAGAAGTAACACAATATGACATAGCAAATCAATGTTGACTCACTTGGAGTGAAGGTAAATCTTGCAGTAGCTTGGCACATTTTTTTAGTTGGTACCAGGAACTTGAACTACAATCCGCAGAATTAAAGGAGAGCTGCTCTTTAACAGAAGTAAAAAGTCAGCACTTGCCTAAGCATGATGTAGCCAGTGTGATACCTGTCAGTTCTAAAATACTAAATGTAAATATAATAGCTGCATTGGCATATGTACTGGGAACAGTAACACTTCAGCAAAGTTGTTTAAAACACATAAGTAATTATATGGGGTCTGACAGGCAAGTTTTCTTTTGCAGTCAAGGAACTTGCCTTACAATGATTGATAGTTTTTGCTTACTTTGTTGAACTGTAGGAGAACTGCTGGTAATATTTGTCTTTCTATATGCTAAATGAGGGAATAGTTGAGAGGAGCTCAGGCTTTCAACTCTTCATGCTACAGTTGTCCTCCTAAAGTTACAAAAAAAAGCCACAAACATACTGATTTACTTTTTAGGTAAGGTAAGAACTATTTGCTTTGAAATTGTAGACAGACTTGGAATATTATCTCTATAACAAACTTCCTTGCAAACTTCTATAAAACTTCCTTGTACTGAAGGGCAGTACATGCTGGTTTATACAGTGCAAGTTCCACATGTTGGCATCAGGATGCTCTCTTTCCGTGTGAAAAGAAACCAGCACAGTAGCACCAATTTAAGTTTTACAAAGTGAGAAAGACTCACAGTGTAGGATTAAGCCTTATGGAGCAAAAGCTGTAATAAAAGCTGTAGAAGGAATCAAACAGTTTTTTTCAGTAAGAATAACAAGTCTACTGCTGTAATGCTGCAAGGATGCAAGCAGTGAAAGAACAAATAATTTTTGTGTCTCTTAGCTGGAGATAGGGAGGTATCATGCTGTCCAAGCCAGGCAGATAATAATGTTGTGTATGCTGAAGTTCATTCTTAGTAAGGCAAAGTTATGTGAACTAGGAAGTATGCTAAGCTATTTCTTATACCTGAGCAACCATTTGAATTAAATCTTACTACTTCCATTTGTCAAATGGTGGAAAAATTTGCTTCTTATTTCTGTTTTTATCTGAGAGCTTTCTTTTTGTCTCTTGCTTGTGAATATGATGTACAGATCCAAGCTCATTCTTAATAGGAAATTTTATTACCTCAAAAACCTACATCTTTTTTCTTATGTATAGTGTTTTAAACTTCATCTTCCAGTCTGCTAGCGTTGTTTTTGGGTCGCACTATTCTTTTGTGTACAACCACACTGGATCAGATGCAGACTGTTGAATCTGGAGCCATATTGTCAATAACTTGTTGATTTGAGTCCATTCTTTTCGTAACCAATTTGAGAGTTGCTGTATCCAGTCAGTATGGGTTTTTTTCACTTTTCTGTACAGGCATCTTAAATGTAAGAGAACCTATCTGTAAGAAACTAAAAGCATTCCAGTTTTCGAATAAAAATCTCTGCTCTTTTGATGCCTGGAAGATACCAGTAGGTAAGCAAGAATGTCTAGTAAATCTGAATATAGGATAGTAATTTCGTAACTACTGATTTACTTGTTTTTTCCTCCAAGATGTTAGATGGGTTAAGAAGAGATAAATGAGTTATGGGAAGAAGGTTGTTAGTTTTTCTTTAGGTTGAATTAAGAAATCTAAGCGTTTTGCTTAAGACTCTGTTTCGTTGTTTTTTTAATCAAGGTTTTGTCGCTCTGTTAGGAACGGCGAGATTGAACGACACAGACTCTTGAAGTCAATCGGAGAATTTCTCTCAGTGTATTACTTTAGGTCTTTTTTATAGACTGATACGTGGAAAGTACAGAAAAGAAACTCTTATTGGTTAGCAAACTACTACATCACCATCATTGATCAGTGGGGCACATCACCCCCCGACCTTCTCCTGCAGAGAAAACAAGGAACAGATAAACAGCACCTGCAAGGCTGTTTTCTGTCTCTGAGGATTGTTTTAAATCCTCCCCATGAATTCTCAGGCCACTTTCTCAGGCAAGACTGAGAAACGATGTGGCCTGTAATTTCTCCAGGCACTCTGTTTCAGAGTTAGCATCCACAATTCACCCTTTTTGTTTAGAAAAAAAAATAAAAAGGCGCAGCGTTTGTAATCTCCTGCTGGGTCCTTGCAGGAAAGAGAACAAACACAGCACAAGAGGTTTCTTTTAATAGAAATTGGAATGGATACTGATTTAGAATCTTGGCTTATGTTCTTGATGTTTAAGGATTGTTTTCTTTGCAAGGATTTGATGGTTGACTCTAATACAACTAGTTCAGTGAACTAACACACACAGCAAATAAAACAGTCTGTTCAAACTGACAGTCTAACTTGTCGATAGGTAGTTTTAAAGAACACTAAAGTGACAAATTCACTTTAAGAACACTCATGTCTAGACCCAGTGAAACTCTACTTAATTCTACTATGCAAAATCTATAAATTTTTTACAGATCAATTAACAATGCAATTTAATTCACAATGCTTTGATCCCCCCTTTTTTCTTTTTCTTTTTTTTTTGTTGACCATCGGATTTTCCCCTCAAATATGATTGAGGGGCTTGTAGAGTTCTCATGGTTATGGTTAAAAGTTTCTTGACTCTCTGCAATCAGTATAGTAACCAGGGAAGTTGTTTGTAGAGTAGAGATGGTAGTTTTGTCAGGATCAGGCTGCTGTTGTTGTTCGTCGGGTTCTTGCTTGGCTGCTGCTGTTTCCAGCGGTGGTTGCCGTGGCAACAAGGTTGCAATGGCCAGCACGGGCAGCAGCTTTGTTTGTGGATTTGTGTGCTCCCCCGCGCCGGGCTGGGCACGGAGGGAGGAGTCCCCCCCTGCCTCTGCTGTGGTGGGTGGTGTCGTTGCCATCACAGGGCGGTGCAGGGGTGGTGCAGAGACTGGAGAGGACACCCCCGATGAGGGAAGCAGCGATGGGTGTCCCGGCGAGGTTCGCGCATGCGTGGGCCCCGCGGTTGGACGCGGGGGGGCTGAAAGCTGATTTCCCCCCGCCGCACCGGCAGGCCCCACGGTTGGGCGTGGGGGTGCTGCTGCTCCCCCTGCTGTGCCAGCAGGCTGCAGGGGGGGCGTCCACGCTGTCTCTTGCAGCACAGAAGAAAGGGGCACAGAGGGCGCAGGGGACCCGAAGGACCCCATCGACAGCGAAGGGCGCCCTGCGGCCACTCGCGGCGGTGCTTGCGCCGCCGGAGAAGGCGCGGGCGGGGATGGGTGATCTCCACTCCTCTGCCGTCTCTCGGAGGACGCAGGCAGGGATGCACGATCTCCGCTCCTCTGCCGCTTCTCCGTTGGCAAAGCCCGCGCGCCCAGCTCCGCTGGTGGTGGGCACCCAAACTCTCTTGGAGAGGGAGATCTCTAGCGCACAGACTGCTTCTGCCCGTGGCTAAAGTCCTCCAATGGTCCGAGCAGAGCCGAGGGAGCGCTACGCTGCTCGTCTACGGTCTCATCCCCCAGTCTCTCATGGTGTACAAAGGAGGCATTCCTGGCATCTAAGTCTTCCATCCCAGCCTCACTGTCCTCAGACTGGCACCGTTCCAGCACTTTAAAGAGCGCGCCCCAGGTGGCTGCCAGGCTGCACACGCTGGTATCCCCTTCAGTTAATTCAGACCATAAACGGTCCCCCACTGACAGCCAAACCTCGAGATCAAAGGCATTATCGACAGTCACGGTAAAACCTTGCACTTTTACCCACTGGAACAAAGCGCGCATAGCATCTTCAGAAATACTGAGTCCCATGCGCGGCAAGGCGTCCTGCCACGCAAAGTAGACAAGCTGTTCATTAGCTGAATTGCAGTTCCCCATTGTGGGAACTGTCTATCTTGACGGCTCGCGAATGCAGTGGTGCAGACGCTGTGGCTTAGACCCGGGACTTTAAGCTCTGCTTTGTCGAGATAAGCTGTTCCAAGCCCGCTCACTGGCAGGGCTCCACTGTCCCGTTGATTTAAATACCAACCCCCTCCAGGGGAGCCTGGGGGATTCTCACCCCTCTTGTTGGGGGAAGCGGCTGGTTCATTGTTCGCTGGCTGCACTGAACCTCAGGGGGTCAGCAGATGCACATCACGTCAGCGGACACCAGATCTCGGGGGGGTCATCAGATGCACATCATGTCGGGGTCACCAGATGTCGCTCTATTAGGAACAGCGATTGAACGACACAGACTCTCTTGAAGTCAATCAGGAGAATTTCTCTCAGTGTATTACTTTAGGTCTTTTTTATAGACTGATACGTGGAAAGTACAGAAAAGAAACTCTTATTGGTTAGCAAACTACTACATCACCATCATTGATCAGTGGGGCACATCACCCCCCGACCTTCTCCTGCAAAGAAAACAAGGAACAGATAAACAGCACCTGCAAGGCTGTTTTCTGTCTCTGAGGATTGTTTTAAATCCTCCCCATGAATTCTCAGGCCACTTTCTCAGGCAAGACTGAGAAACGATGTGGCCTGTAATTTCTCCAGGCACTCTGTTTCAGAGTTAGCATCCACAAGGTTTAGGGTGTCTTAGAAAAACTACTGGTTTGTTGATTTATTTGAGAATTATAGTCACTGTGCTACAGCATAAGCATCATCTTTAGCATTTAGAACACAAGTCATCTGGAAACTGGCTGCTTCTAAGATTGAGTATGTGGGGAGATTATCTCAGAGAAATGCTGGTAATGCAATAATCATATTTACCACTAAAAATACTTGGATGTTTCTGAAGTTATAAAGGTATGCCATGAAATTTGGGAGGCAAGCAATTTACTTGTCAGTCTTTCTTCAGGAAAATATATGAAATTATATGTATGTAAGCTTCTTCTATTAAGGTATTAAGGTTGAACAGATCCCTTCTGGTCTTTTGGTCTGCCTTTCACATCAAATCATCAAATAGACTTGTGCTTTTTTGTTTTGTTTTCTTTTTTGTTTGTTTTGTTTTTTCCTTTTTCCCCCCCCCCTCCATGGAGTCCAAAGATGGATAGAGCATTTCAGGTGGAGTCTACAGTCTGCAGCTGAGGCACTTACCTGTTACAGTCAAGTCTGCTTTTGGTTCTCTTTACTGCAAGGATATATCAATCTACAGTTCCCGGTTGTGTCTATTTAGTAACGTCAACACTTTATACATATTACAGTGTGTTGTTGTTTAGGGAGATCAGAAAGACTTATCTGAAGCAAGTTAAAGTCAGACATTATTAAAACTGTCAGCACAAAATAAAGCATATTTTTTCCACTATTACTATTAAAATAGAGAGCACATAATATGCTGGGATTTGTACCTTTTAAAAATCACAGATATAAATTAAAATACACTCCACTGTGTGTTCTTTAAACAATTTAGTCCATGCAGATTCTCTTTGCAATATAAAATAAAGTTGTCAAAGTATCTTGAAAGATTAATGTTCTACTATAACAAGTGCTGTTAAGGGAGGAACAGTCTTAAGTAGTCTTAGGAAGAGAGAGGAATGTTGTCCGTAGATAAACAAAATATATCAGATTATGGTTTAAGAACAAACAAGCCTTCTGATAAGTCAGGAATACTAAGCTACCAATTTGTGGTTGGTCTAGGACCTGAAATTATTCAAAATGCTACATTTTTTAAAATTTTTCCACTGTAAGTTCCAGATTTTCAGGCTCCACATGTTCATGTGAATTATTTGATCAGTTTCTAGGTCTGAAAGTTTAAGTTCCTTGAAATACCTCTAGAATTTTTTTTCAGTTTAGGGAGTTCAGAGGATACATCTGCCTGGTGTTGTGCAGACCATGATGAGCAAGCTATGTCAGTGTTCAGGGCTGACTGAAGCTTCAAGGCAGAATTAATTACTCTGGTGCTAAGAGAGAGTTTGCATGCTCTGCCCAGAGCATTCTGCATAATTCGTGACTGAATGTGATCAGTAAAGAAGCTTTGCACTGATGTGTTCACAAAACTTGGTTCATTCTTTATGGCTTCATTATCAGTGCTTCTGACTGAATGCAGAAGCACTGCATTTTATTCTTTGGAATATTTTTTGGTTTAAGTATGGTTTAAACCCATCTAGCACCTAAACCCCATGCAGTCACTTCCTCATCAACAGGATAAGGGAGAGAATTAGAAGGGTTATCCCTGTAGTCATTTGGGGTTAGCTGTCCTGGCTGTGTCCCCTCCCACACAAAATACTGTACTTCTTGCACACCCCCAGCCTACTCAATAGTGGGGTGGTACAAGAAGCATAAAAGGCCTTGTCTCTGTGCAAATGCTGTTCAGCAATAAGAAAAATATCTCTGTGTCATTAACCCTGTGTTCAACATAAATTTAAAACCCAAACTGATACCAGCCACGGTAAAGAAAATTAACTCTACCCCAGCTAAATCCAGCACATTCCAGCCCTTATTTCCTGTCATTTGCATCATGCTCAGATCCCATACTACTCAGTAAGACCTCATTAACCACTGCCCCCTTTGCATTGTTTGATATAATACACAGATAGCATTCATTTAGTCTGAGGACCACCTCAGCAAAATGTTCATAAAATGTCCACAAAACATCCATTGGGTTTATTTAGTCCATGACTTTGGGCTCCATCTGTTCTGGTGGTCACTTGGAACAGGTGTGTTGCATGGAGTAACTGGGCACCAAAGCCAGCTCAGTTCAGGTCACTGCTGCACTGAAACTTCTTCTTGCAAGGCTTCTCCTCCATTACTGTCATGGTAATTCCTATAAGATGCAACTCAAATAATAGCTTACAGCAACAGTTTAAAGGTATATCCATTACAAACTCTGTCTCTCATCCTTTTGGGCCATGTTTTAATGGTTTAACATTGCAGTGTTAACTCCTTCACTTGTTCCTACCCTGCTTGGCAGCAAGGGGCTCCTGCTGTGGTCCACCATTGACCTCCATGGGCTGCAGAGAGACAGTGTGCCTCACCATGGTCTTCACTGAAACAGGGTGCTGGGGAATCTCTTGCTTCCCCACCATCATGGGGTACCACCCACAGGAGACCGTTCTCCACAGACTTTTTCAGTGTGGGTCCTTATCCAGGCTGCAGCTCTTCATGACCTGCTCTGAGTCAATTCCACAAGGTGCAGTCCTTCAGAAACAGCATGCTCCAGCATCGGTCCCTCATAGGGTCACAAGTCCTGCCAGCAAACCTGCTACAGGGTGGACTCCTGTCTCCATGCATCCACGGATGCTGGGAATCTGCTCCAGCATAAGCCTATCACAGGGTCACAGCTGCTTTCAGTTACTCCATCATGGGGTCCTCTGTGGTCTGCAAGTGGATACCTGCTCCTGCATAGACTCATCCTTCTACTCAAGTCCACACTGGTGTTCCAGCCCGTCCAGTACAGCAGTGCAGAAAACTGCAGCAACACCCTGGCCACCTACCAGCCCAGGCACTTTGCCATGGCTGTTTTTGAAATGCTCTTGGGCACAACACAGTGAGGTGATCAGCAGCACAGCACTGCAGCGAGCAGCAAAGGCAACAAGTGGCTACTAATGAGCACTAGACTCTAATACTCAGTCAGGCAAAAAAGCCCCATGGCAAGCACAGGAGCCTGCTCATTACTAGCTAAAGGACATTTGCTATAAATTCAATCTAGTACATTCAAGTCAAATCTGTTGCTATCTTGAACCCTTTGTGCTTTGCATAGACTGCCAAAAAGGACTGTTATGAATTAACCCCAGCTGCCAGCTAAGCCCCATGCTGCTATTCACTCACTTCCCTGCCACAGGGAGTGGGAAGAGAATTGGAAAAGTGAAAAAATTCATGGGTTGAGATAAAAACAGTTTAATAGGAAAAGCAAAAGGCACACACACACAAGCAGAATAAAACCCAAGGAATTAGATCAGTGCATCCCATGGGCAGGCAGTTTTCAGCTGTCTCCAGAATAGGGCCTCATCACACATAATGGTGACACCATTGTTCCAAATGTCGCTCTCTTCCTCCTTCTTCCTTTCACTTCATGTGCTTATGTTCCAACTGTGTCTCGTCCCAGCGTTCTGTGCACCTCCAGTCTCCTCACCATCATGACAGTGTCAAAAGCAAAAAAGGCCTTGGCTCTGCGTAAGCCCTGCTCAGCAATAGCAAAAGCAGCTCTATTTTATCAACCCTGTGTTCAGCACAAATCCAACACATAGTCCCACACCAACCACCATGAAGAAAGTTAACTCTATTCCAGCCAAAAT